TATTGTCATCAAAACGTACACTCCATAGCTATTTTTTATATATAACTTTTGTTGTTACTTTTTTGTTATTGTTACATCTGATTATCGCTATTGCATGAAACTTTTAGTTATGTAATTGAAACACATCTTAATAATTATTTAGTTTTCACTATATATATATATATATATATATATATATATATATATATATATATATAAATATATATATATATATATATATATATATATATATATATATATATATATATATAAATATATATATATATATATATATATATATACATATATATATATATATATATATATATATATATATATATATATATATATATATATATATATACATATATATATATATATATATATATATATATATATATATATATATATATATATATATATATATATATATATATATATATATATATATATATATATACATATATATATATATATATATATATATGTAGCACGCCTTATAAATTTCAAGGACCGTTTTGCTCACGCCAAGCCTCTTTTATATGATATGAAAGCACTCAATATATATGAGTTAAATGTTTTTAATATTCTTTGTTTTATGTATAAATGCAAGACCAACCTATCACCCGTTTCTTTTCGTAACTTGTATTTACAAAGAAATAGAAATAAATATATTCTAAGGAACGATAACTTAATTCAACAACCATTTTCTCAAACTAATTTTGGAAAATGTTTTATTTTTTCATTTCGCGGACCATTTTTATGGAATAGTATAGTTCTAAATACTTCTAAAGATTTTTCTTAAGAATGTAATTTTGATTCTTTTAAACAAAATCTTAAAAAACTCAATTTTTCAACTGAAAATATACTAATCTACTTTTAAATTTTTGAAAATCACTTGTCTATATTAGTATATGAATATATTTAATGTACATTCTTTTTTATTTATTTATTTTTTTATCAACAAGCAATTATTTAACATGTTTTATTTTAGTGAATTATTTAACATGTTTTAGTTTTTAAGTTTTAGAACTCTTCTATTGTAATATTGTATGTTTATTTATAATATTATATTACGAACTTTATATACTTTTATTAATAAATTTAATTTTGTAATAAAAAGAAACTGAACAAAAATAAATAAATAAAAAGAATGAAAACATTGAAAAAAATAATAATAATAATAATAATAAAAAAAATAAAAAAATAAAATAAAAAAAAAAATAAAAAAAAACGTTTAAAAGCGGTTTCTCTGTGACAAGACCTGATGGTCTTCTTTGAGTATCCGCGTTCTTTATATTTATTAATATTCTTTATATTATTATATTATTCTTAACGATATCTTGACTTGTTACCTTTTCTTTTTTTATTTTTTATATTATTTGTATCTGTATCATAAATATTGTAATAAAGAACAAAAAAAAAAATAAAAAATTTTACGTATATATTTATATATATATATATATATATATATATATATATATATATATATATATATATATATATATATATATATATATATATATATATATATATATATATATATATATATATTTATATATATATACATTTATATATATATATATATATATATATATATATATATATATATATGTATATATAATTTACTATATTTTATTTATTTATATATATATAGAGTATATATGGCTGTATAACGGAAAAAACAAAAGAAAAATTAACAGTTCTAATTGTGTTAACAAGATATGAAATATACAATATCACGACTTGGAGGTAATTCCCTCTCATCGGATGGTAGCCCTCTTATTAAAAAAATATGAAGTAGTATAATTAGTTCCAAAACAATATGGTTAATAAAAGTGATGCCAATGGTTACTCGGCTGTTAAAAACATAGCGCCATCAATTGCTTATCTTGATATCTGGATAGTGGAGCTCATGAACATTATTTCCAAACAGAAAGCAATTTTTCTTTTGCGAGCAAAACAAGTTAAAAAACTTAAACAAAAAGTGGAAGTTACCAACGATGTTAGTTTCTCTAAGCGTTTAGACACAAAACAATTATCAAACATCCGGTTTATTAGGTTAAAATTTAAGGACCTTGCCAAAATAAAAATAGCTCTTATGAAACGTGAAAAACTCGTTACACATAAAACCATCAAGAATTACTTAGTCAGTTCTATTTTGTCACCAGTTGGAAGAGAGCTTGAGTATCAACTACGCCAAAAACCGCAACACTCGTAATGAACCTTGATGCGCCTTTTTACTGAGACATCCGCAATGAAGCAATCGTCAAGAACCGCAGTGCCCTTAATCCTTGCTCCAAATCAACGAATGAGCTTAGCAGGAAACACCAATCGCTTAGCACTCATCCGCGCCACCAATATGCGTTCTCTCTGTAATAAAATTGAGATCTTTTCAAATCAGTTTTTTATAGATACTAACATTGATATTACCTGCCTAACTATTACGTGGCTACTAATGAGCAAGTTTTTCTCTCTCAAGTCAATAGTAATTACACTTATATAAGCACTAAACGTTAGGATTGCATCGGTTGCACACTATTATATTTATAAACAAAAAATATTCTGAATAAAAAAAACAAATAAAACCGACAACCGACTCCCTGTCTAATTCAGTACCTGAACGAGAAATTGAACTAACTGTTACTTGAGTATACCTATACCGAGGGTACTCCTCCTATCTAATAATATGCGCATATATCCAGGTTCATTCTAAAAATGCTCAATGTGAAATGCACCACTCACGTAAGGTTACATAACGGCCAGGTAAAGTTGCTGCAACTGTTGCATCAATACGATGTACTGATCTTATAGCCATAGTTGATTCACCGTATAAAATACTAGCCGCTTGCAGCAACCATTATTATTCTATACTCTATGCTCAAGACATCTGCCAACCATAAAGAACTACAACGCTTGTCAACTCCAAACTTTGGATGACGCCGTTTATTAAGAGCCTTATAAAAGTACGTCAGCAAATTTGTTTTTCTGGTTTCTACTCTGAGTGGAAAGTAATTGCAAATCGAGTAATCAAACTAATCACCAAAAAAAAACGTACTTATAACCAACGCTTCTCCTCAGGTAAAACAAATTTTTGGCGAAAGGCTTGCCAATAAAGGACAAATCACTCATCTCATTCTTTCTCAAAAACATTAGCAAACCAATTCAACGATCATTTCCGAAATGTTTTGAGCAATAAGAAACAGTCTAACCTCTCATTCTTCATCAATCATCAAGCAGGCCTACCTATTTCCCCCATTTTTACCATTAATAACATTTTCAATCAACTCAGCAAACTATAGATAGGATCATCAGGACCTAACCAAACAGTTCAGTTTCCTTGTAGGCCATAGTACAAATGACGCTTTTATTTAAGTTATGGAGGATTGGAGTCATGCTAAAAATAGTAATAATTCAAATCTTGAAATATTCTTCAATTTCGCAACAACATTTGATACTGTTAATTATGATAAACTGCTACTAACGTTGGTAAATATTCTACCAAACTGGATCACATCTTGGATTGCAGCTTACTTATGCAATCGTCAAAAATGCTTTATAGATCATCAGAGTCAAATTAATAAACTTGAGCCGCCTCAATATTTGTTTTGAATTGAAAAATTACTCGACAAGACCAGTGTTAATAGCCTTAAAAAGATTTTTGCAGACACAAAATATCCGATAACCACTAAATTACCTTGCACAATTAGCAGGAACCCGAAAATTTAATGTACAACCATAATGAAGACATATATGGTTGTACTTTGAATGCGCAACCGTCTTCATTAAGATTGTACATTCAATGTTCATCCATATTAAAGACAATCTTGTAAAATATTATTTTTAAAAATTAAAAAAATCTCGTAAACAAATTAATCTCAAAGTGTCAATATCATGGTTAAAAGTAAAAAAGACACGTTTCTAATTTAATTTGTTTTATGTACATCTCTTTAGCACCTTTAACCGATACTCTTCTAAAAATTGCTTTAAAGACTCGTTTAATCAAATTTGATAGTCTACCAAATAAGCGTCTCTTCGTAAATAAAACTTTTTAATAAATTAAAAGTCTTTTAACTTTAGCCATATTACTACAAATAAAGCTTTTTATGGGTGAAATTAGTGTGTTATACAATATACAGTTAGTAATAAAAACTAGTTTAAACTGTTTTCTAGAACAAAGCGTGACAAGGATGGCACCTTTCAAATCCCAAATTATTTTATCTTCTCTCACACCTATATTATTGCGTATATCAAAGCTGCAATTATGTTCAACGTTTTAGTATTTAACACTCACAAGCACAGATTTTAGACATAAATTTAAATTTAAAATATTGTAAAATATTTAATAAATTTAAACAAATAAACTATTTCTTGTTAAACTCATTTTTGTTTAAGGACTCAGTAATTGTATCAACTAATTGTATCATATAATGGTTTAACTAGGTAAAACGACAATAAAACTTAAAATCTATTCCCTTAAAATATTTAATTAGGATCTTATAACTATTTTATTGTGAAATAATTAAATATATATATATATATATATATATATATATATATATATATATATATATATATATATATATATATATATATATATATATATATATATATATATATATATATATTTATTATATATATATATATATATATATATATATATATATATATATATATATATATATATATATATATATATATATATATATATATATATATATATATATATATATGTATATATATATATATATATATATATATATATATATATATATATACATATATATATATATATTTATATTCTTGTTTTGATTAGGTGATTATAATCAACTCGTTTTCAATATGAGAGTGATCAATATAAGGTGAAATAATCACAAAATAAATCAATGTGTGTGTGTGTGTGTGTGTTTGTGTGTGTGTGTGTGTTAATGTGTGTGTCTGTGCGTGTTTATTATACGTATATATGTGAGAAAATTTAGTTGTAGATTATATACAGACATTTATATATTTATTTAATTTACTCTTGCAAATTTGCTTTGGACATTCAATTGTTTGAATACTGCTTCCATTACAAGTCTGACCACCATATTTTGGTGTGAAGCATCTACGAAATCTTGACATAACACCATCCTCACATGGTTTATTGCATAATGACCAAAGAGACCATTCTGACCATATACCATATACTGTAATATAACAGAAACAAATATTTTTTCTCAAAAATTTTATGTTAAAAAAATTAAGAACCTGTCTAAAAAAGAGGAAAAAATTTACCTGGACAAGTTATATCATATTGGCAGTCGTCAGTGTAGCTGCTGACACCAAAACAAGCTCTACCAAAATTCTTAGGTATTGGATTGTCACAACTCCTTATAAAATACACTTTTCCACCACCACCACACGATGTTGAACATTCAGATTTGCTCCAGTTACTCCACATTCCATCCACTAAAACAAAACAAAAAATTATATTTAACATGGCTTTGTTTAGATGACAGGTTTGGATGGCAAAGAGTTTAATTTTTTTGCAAAAGTAAGTGTTGATCAATAATCTTTTGTTGAGGTTTAAGATATCAATCCAGGATAGCCTATATGTAGAAGTACAAAAAAATAATCGTCTAAAGCTAATAAGTATAAAGTGCCTAACAAACAAAACAAAAAAATACTTTGAAGCAGTGCCAAGCAAAAGCACATGAAAGAATAATTATTTTATAAAAAAGTAAATTGATATAGAAGCCCAGGCCATGCACATGACTGGTGTAGTCTTTGCAAAATTTTTAAAGGTTTTGCAATTAAAAAGATAAAAGCCAAATGTTGCGAAAGGAAAGGTTTTCTAGTAAAGCAAGTCTGGATTCGCTTAAGTGTTGATCATATATGCTTCTGAAATTGAGAACAAGAAGTTGTTGGGTTCCTAAGTAAAAACCATTAAGCGTCACATCTTGAAAACCATCATCATAATTTAACATATATGTTTTGTTAATTACATGGCAAGATAAACCAAAAAGGCATTGTTAAGATTCTTTTACTAGGTAATAAGGTTGCATTCCATTTGAATAAATCCTAGTAGGCTATCTATTAATTAAAGCGTAAATTCTGGTGATATTTATTGAGTTTTATTTGTTTGAGCGCCTTGTAAAATAAATAAATTGGGGAGCACAAATTAAAACTTATTTCAACAAGTTGCATCCAATATTCACATCAAACAGTCATGAAATTTTTTTTCTTATCCTATTGCTTACGTCAATGTCAAATAATTTACTTGAAGAAAGTAACAAAAAGTAAAATTTTTTAACAATATTGTAGTTTGAAGTACACTTTAAATGAGCGGGTCATTTTAGAAACACCATAAGTCATTTTTTGACAAAAATTAGTTAAGTACGGAAACATGTTATTTAAACATAGACCAATATATAATCATAAACCAGCATCAATAGAAGTTGTATTTATTACACAAAGTACTGTTTTTATCTAATCATTTGCGATATTTGCATTTGATAATCATTAACAATTGAAACACACGCAGTTATCTTTGGACAATTAGTTGTAAAAATATCTTTAGAAAACCAATAATGATTACAAAAAAAAATTGATTTAGGAATAACTCCCTCAGAGTACATGGTGTATTCAGTGCAAAGAATTCTCGCACAAATGAAGCAAAAATCAAAAGTTTAATTAATATGAATAGTTACGGTAAATCAAATTGATTCACTTGATTTATGAGTTTTTAGGATGTTAATTGGATCAACGATGAAGTCCGATAACAACACACGTAGACTAATAAAAAAGAAAAATGGAAGTATTGTAAAGTTTACAATACTTCCATTTTTTTAGGAAACCAACCTATTATTACCTAAATAAGCTACATTTTATATGACCTTACTTAAACTTGAGTAAATCCAATTTTATCCTTTGCTAACGGAAGTAACATAATCCTTTTTTTTTTTTAATTTCTTGGAGCACGTCTTACCAACTTATTTCCTTTTGCTTATTTAAAATGCAGAAGATAGCGTTTTAAATTTTTTGGAGTAAATGAATGACTAAGGGTATTCAACAAGTTTATTAGTCTCAAAAATAAAGACAACAAAGATTACTATCTGCGTTTGTTGATGCATACTGCTGAGGTTAAGCAAAGGAGAAGGTGTAACTCCTTTAATGAGTTTTTAAAGCCAGAACAAGGTTTAACATTTTGGTATGAAAAATCAACACCATTTGGAAAATACCAGGTATGCAAAGTAGCTTATATTTTCTATATGATAAATTCACACTATGTGACATTTGTCACATAAAGAAAATATTCATTTACAGCTTATATATGAATATTCACATTATGTGACAAGTGACAGATTATAAAAGCTGGGAAACCTTTTGAAGGCAGGACTATTCCCTCGTGATGAACACGAACAAAGTATATCAGAAAATGCTAAACCTGAAAGTGTCATAAACATGATGAAAAATAAATCAACTATAATATAATACAATTTTAATACTAAAAAACATTTTTTTAATTAAAAACTACTTGTTTATGACATGCACAAGAAGTTTCACCAGAAGTATCCAGGAATCATTTCAATTCTTATTTAAAAACATTAAAGCATCAATTTTAGTTAGGATTTTAATTATCTCAAGTTGACAAATGCTGCACATGAGATGAGTTACAGGTAAAAATTAAATGTAAATGATTAAGCGACAATGTTAAGACTCCTGCATCTGTTTAAAAAATGGTTCATATTTGAAGAGTCTAAATGTTTTCTAGAAAAATCAAAGAAAATGCAGAAAAGTGTCTAAATAGGAGGGATTTGTATAGATTATATTCAAAATTTAAAACTTCCTTGCATATTATTAATTGACCGCTGAAACAAAGGGAAAAATAATTTGAAGAAAGTATATTGATAGACTTCAGCTCCAAAAGTTTTCATTGAAAAACTAGTGTACTGCCTCTTCCTCTAACCAAAGCTTATATGGGTAGAGCGATCCCAATCAA